AGAGCCTACTGTGTGGTAGCTGCCATGCCAACGTACCACAATGCGGGTGGTGGATACCCGAATGTGTCAGCGCCAGCGCGGCAAGCGAAGCTCGACGGCAATCAAAATCATCACACTATCCCTTTAAACGTAACATCCCATCCCCTTATACAAAACAACACACAGCAACAACAGCAGCAGCAGCAACAACGACAACAGCAACAACAACAACAGCACAGTGTTCCTTCCAACCTGACTCCAGGTAGCATTCCGTCCCATCCAGTGTCGCCGATGATGACCACGCATTCGAGTGTCACCACGTCGAATATCACGACACACATGAACACCACGTCTTCGCCGGTAATTCTCACCTCGAATGCCATTAATCCAGGCGCCAACACTACTGCATTGCCAACTAATCCACGACATGAAGTGAAACTGAACGCGATGCCGTATGTATCATTATTAGCTAAACAATTAGTTTAATATCTGCAAATCTAACAATTATTTAAAACGAGGAGAAATGTATATATTGAGATATGCGATAAATAAATCGATGCTGAAGCGTAGTTAAAGAAAAAGTATAATACTTCGTCCGTTCGAAATCATGTTTTTTTCCATGCAGATGGTTTCATGGGAAGATATCGAGGGAAATGGCAGAAAGGTTGTTGCGACCACGAGAGGATGGTTTGTTTCTAGTTCGAGAGTCGACGAATTTCCCCGGGGATTACACACTCTGTGTATGCTACCAGGGACGTGTACAGCACTATAGGGTGAAATATAAAAACAACCAGTTAACGATCGATGACGAGGAATTCTTCGAAAATCTGGCGCTCTTGGTCGAGCATTACGAGCAGGACGCGGATGGTTTGTGTACGCAGCTAACAAAATCTTTGCCGAAACAGGGCAAGCAAGATTTCTGCGTGGATCCAAAGGCGTTCGTGGAAGCCGGTTGGGTGATTCAGACACACGAGTTAGAGTTAAGAGAGTGTATTGGAAAGGGGGAATTTGGGGATGTGATGCTAGGCGTCTACGGAGGGAGCAGAGTCGCGGTGAAAATGCTGAAGGATAACTGTGAAGCGGCACAGAGGTTTCTAGCTGAGGCGAGCTTAATGACGTCGTTGATTCATGACAATCTGGTTAAATTACTCGGTCTTGTTTTTAATAATCAACACATGTACCTGGTTACGGAATATATGAGTAAAGGATCCCTGGTGGATTATTTGCGGTCGAGAGGAAGATTACATGTTTCAAAAAAGGATCAAATTAACTTTGCATAGTACGTAAGCGGAAACGAAATTCATTTATCCAAATACCTGTATATTATTAATTGTATTAATTGTATTATTTGCATTATTTGACATATTTTAGCGATACGTGTGCCGGTATGGCGTATCTGGAATCCAGACATGTTGTGCATCGAGATTTAGCGGCGAGGAATGTTCTCGTAGCGGAAAATAATTCCGCCAAAGTATCCGATTTCGGCCTGGCGCGGGATGAAAACTTTTCTCTCGACGGTGGAAAACTACCGATCAAATGGACTGCACCAGAGGCTCTAAAGCAAAATGTAAATATATTATAACTTTACGGGTGATAATATACATATGCACTTACGTATCACATTACTTTTTCCAGAAGTTTTCAAACAAGTCTGATATGTGGAGTTTCGGAATTCTACTCTGGGAAATCTATTCATTTGGTCGTGTGCCGTATCCGCGAATTGTAAGTAATATTGTTACCCTGAACTGTCATATAAGGACATGATATATTTTCTTTACATCATTATTAATTGCAGCCTCTAGCCGACGTTGTAAAGTGCGTAGAAAAAGGATACAAGATGGAACCACCAGATGGATGTCCTGCGGAAGTTTACGATATTATGAGACAGGTATATTAAATTTTTACCTGTCACCTTATATTTTGTACCATATCGTGTCACATTTCTTACTTAGATACTATTCTTTAACAGGCATGGGATTTACAGCCAGAAAAGAGACCGAGTTTTTACGATATAAAAGAAACACTCTTCCAATTGAAAAATGGAGTACACCAAAGCGTGAATTAAGAATTTAATACAAACTTAAATAAACTTAGCGAGAACTGAAAGCTGGGATTGAAATATCCGAATGATTTCTCAATTTCAGGACGAAAATAGTGATTTTGAATGTTTATGTTAAAAGGGAGAGGACTTCGATTGTACATTGTATACAAAAAAATAGTATTCGCTTTGCTTATATTTATTGTTACTTTAGTTCTTGAAATGTGGGGAGAATTTTAATTTTTATATAGTAATATTTTGCACACACAAGCATTAAGCATTACCTATGGTCAATCGTGCCTTTGTCCAAGTTGATGTTCTCGAGCAGGAAATTCAACTTGTACATAATGAAATCCGAATATATTCGGGATAAAATCAACAGATTTAAAAGATGCGTAATTTGCCTATTACTTAATTTTTGATAGTCACGTTTGAAGTTTGTTATAATAATAAAAATGATTTTATAACTTACAATTTTTCTAAATAATTAAAGTTTTTTTATCACAGCACAAAAAATGATGTATTATAGACACATTAAATTTAAATGATTGCAACACATGCTATATTATATGCTATTCACAATTTCGTTTATTTAGTTTTAAACGCTTAGAATTTCGTTTTTTTTTTGTTGAAATTATGTAAAAGTTTCATTTACAATTTATTGTTATAAATATAAAAGATTTGCTTAAGCAATTATAATTATATATTGCGAGTTTACTTGCTTAAGTTCTTTGATCAAAGATTTGTCATAAGAGAGAAGTTTTCAAATTTTAACTAAATTATATTACAATATATATCATTATTTAATTTTTTTCCCATGAAGTTAATTGCATTAGTGGTGAAAATGTATCTCTTTGTAAATATTTTTGTATATAATTTTTATCTATTGAAAAATGAAAATTTTTCGATTTATATTTGTTAAGAGAAGATTTATATTCATCAACAAACAAATGTTTTTTTTTCTATACATAATTGTACCACGCTGAAAAATTATTCATTATATGAATAGTATATCATTTTATATCAGTGTTTTTTAATCTATCAGTTATTTTTTACAAAATATTCTGCCAATAATAATGACGGACTAATTCTGACTTATTACATTTAACGGCCGTATTTCGCTAAACAGTAACTGTGAGCTACGAAGAAGATCAAATATTTATTCTTTAGAAGATATATATCAGGCAAATGAAAAGTTCTGTAAAATTGTAGATATTAAATTCTTGTATGCCACGTAAAAAAAAAATATTAAATTTTGTCATTAATTAAAAATCAAGATATCTAATATATATCTGTATAATAGTCGTAAAATACTGTGTATTAAATTGACACTGTATTATGCGATAATTTATTAAACTTTGAAAAGTGACACGATCACTCGGTTCCTTGAAACGAAAAATTTTATGATAAAAACAAAGATTGTCTTGACTGATGAAATATTTCACAATAATAGGTTCGATCTTTCTCTTCCACAAGTGTCTCTTCAGTCTGCGGTTAGACATATTTCTATAAGAAATTTAGAACGTATTTATCTTAAGCATGGTCCGTTTGTATAACTTTGATATAACAAGTATGTACTTGAGATACACGTATTAATAATGTGTATTAATATGGCTCTAACTGATACCTTGAATTGCTTTTTCACTGTGGAGCTTAATATTTGTATGTATTTACAATCTGCTAATACACACATGAGTTCTTCCAATTATAAATTTCATGTTATTCATATAAAATGCTAATTTCTCCATTTTATCTCCGACATTTTAAATCCAAGATAAAACATCTTGTTATTCGTTAAAGAGTATTATATTTATATATAAATTTATATACAGCCTTGTGCAAAAGTATTAAGTACCTTATAACCACTAAGTTATTTTAAATTGTGGTAAAGGCAGATAAAAATAAAACTATATATACTTTTAATTAGTCAATATTTATTGCTTTTATCAGTATTTAATACGTCCACGCTTAGCTTTAGTCCATGTGAACATTTAACTCTTTGGGCTATTTCAAACTGAGATTTGTCCTGTCGTGTAAAAGTTGAATCAGCTGTTGTGCCTTTTTTAGGCATTATTTATAGAAAAGAACTCAACTTCCAAAAATATCAGCAGTAAAATATGAAACTGAATACATGATATATTTTCACTACAAACACCGATAATAGAATAATACTACTTTGGAAAGATACAAATATTCTCAATTGATGCCTATTTATTACTTTATTGAAACCATATCTCTGTGTTTACATTTTAGAATAAACATACCATTCAACGAATCACTGACCAAAAATAAATTCTAAGAACGCATGTCGGATGTAACTATAATGATAAGAGTGCCTAATACTTTTGCACAAGGCTGTGTGTATATATATGTATAACGATGTCATACGTGTGACATTGCTATTTGTGTATTTTGATATGTACACGAGATTTTTCGTTGTTGCGATATTAGTTTTCTTATAACAATCAATGTGTCTGTTTATTTTTTACTGATAATGGATCGATTAGAATGTAAGAAATCTATTATATATATATATGTATATGTGTATATATATACATATATACATAAATTAATAAATTAGGGAGATCACAAAATCACGCAAGGGAATTAAACTGTACTTGATATGTATGTGTTCACGTTGTAACAGTATGATATGCTGACTCGATACAAATGTACAGGATATATGCGACAAATACTTTTTCCATTCTTGCAACAGTACTCTTGTACAGTTTGGAATTAATGATTCTGGAAAGGCATTGAAATATGTTTACCGTCATACTGTTGCCCCCAATTCTAAAGATTCTCATTAGACAGCTATAGCGATGAAAGGATAGATAACTGACGAGAGAATAAAAGTTAATTAATAAAGGAAAGAAGTTACACTATATAGTTATGTGTACTTTAATCAGCCTTTAGCGAGGATCATAACATACCTTAATTCCTAATTATTTTTCTATATATAACGTATTACCCTGAAACTTTATCAGTTATTAGATATTGATAAACATGCGCTATGATTTTCATATATATTCTTATTTATTTCAGTTTGCAGTTCGAGATAATTGTGAACGTTTATTACTAGTTCACTGCTGATTGCAGTATTATCAACGACTGTATGTTTTTGTACGGTAGATACATTATTTTTCATATCGTGCAAATGTTCGCTTAAAATTTGTTCCTCAGACTCATGTTCTCTCGGTTCTAACAATTTCCCGTTAGTTTCGTTTATTTTTACAATTTCTGATAATGTCCAGAATTTTTCACTATTCTTCAGTTGGTGTATTTTGTTTTCTTTGATCATTTCTGTGTTCTCGTTACGTTGCGCTTGACGAGGAAGTACGTTTTCCTCTGTACGTTTCAAAAGAGAAAAAGGATACGGATAATCCTGTGAATTTAGAGAATTTTTCAATCGACTACGTATCAAGAGACTTCTCTGTACTTTGTAAGGTCGACCTAAATCACGCGTCAGTATCAAGTCTCGATTGTGACTTGATGTACCGATCAATAAATATCTTCTGTCGTTTTTTTTATCTTCAATTATTGAATGTTTTATTTTGCGTATTCCATTGGATTCTTCTTTCGTGGAAATTCGTAATAAGTTGCTATCGTGAAAATCATATTTATTATAAATTTTAGAAGTTTTACAATTCAAACCAGAAGAATAACGCGAGGTACCAGCGAATGAATCGTAATCTTTCGAAATCAGGTTGGGATTGCTTATTGAAACGTCTCTTCTAAGGAAATTATTTTTACGGAATATTGCGCTCGCATATACACGAATCACATACAATAATCTTCCGGTGATTGTTTCAATTATTTTATTGATAAATGCATTCATGCGATTGCCAATGATAGAAAATAGTTTCAAAATTAAACTTCTTTTGCGTTCCACATTGGAACGATAAGGCACATTATTCGTGCTAAGAGTTTCTAAGGTACTTCCTGCGACGTCGTTACAGCGGGATAAACGTTCTGTAGTCGTAATTCCTGCTTTCGTTATCAGACTCGAATAAGTTCCTACGTTGCCTCCATTTTTCTCATTATCTGGGTAAAAAAATTTTGATTTAAACTCTATTTTATATTTGATATTCTACGCAGAACTATGCAATTTCTAGAATTATAGTTTGATTAATGAAAAGCCATTGTAAAACGGAAATGTGAAAAATTACTTTTTTCCTCTCTCTAAATACAGAGTATTGTGTCAACATAAAGAAACCAATTACCTGTTACACGTTTATGCAGATTTTTGAACGGAGGAAACGCATTCGCTTCTAACAATGGAACAGCTGTAGTTTTATCTTCTTTAAATGTGGTCTGGCATTGATGATCGAAGCAGAGCTTTGGAAGATCCGTTCCCATTGGAAATCTGTTCTCCGAGCGATCTTTCGCGGCAGTAATATTATGTGCGACGACGCTTCTTGGAAGACTTTCTATCGATCTGCGATCACTTGATATTTCAATATCCGGATCGGTGATTATATTTACTTTATCATTTATCGCTATTTTTTTCTCCATTTTTCGTTTCCTTTCAAATTCCAGGTTTTTATCGTATTCGATATTCGTCATCAACGAGACAATGTGAAATTTTATTTTCTTCTTGGCTTTGCTCGTTGGTACTTGACTTGCGCTTCGTTCTATCGCGGCATCCGCAGTTGATGGCAAGATTCCACCACCGTCTTTATCTTCCTGTCCGTGCCATTCTTTTTCCGATTTTAATATAATGTTTAGTAGTGAAGTACGTATGCCATCTAATGATTTTGCTTCCGTTTCCTGCATACTTGAAATTGGTTCTTCATTCGCAACTCTCGTTGCGGCTGCAGTCCTCGCCACTTCTTGAACAGCTTCCGGCGGTAGAACGTCTCTAATGTCGCCGCGTTCTTCAACAATTTCATCTCTTCCTGAAACTGTGATTTTATCGTCTGTTTGTTTTTCATATTGCTGCACATTCGGCGTACTCGCGAATTCCTGCTGATTCGTCGTCTGGCCGCAGCTCCGAATCTCAACCGCATCTCGCGCTTCGCAAACGTCCTCGACATTGATCTTCCCGCCGAGCGTAACCGTATCGCTCTCAGATTCCGTTAAAGTCTTCACCGATTCGTCGTCGGTGACGTTGATATATGCCTTGGCTGTCCAACATTGCGCGCCGCATGGAATCTCGTTTCTTTCTCCGTACGTTCGCGCTGCTGCCTCGTATCCTTCGGTGTCTATCCTCGCGCAGACGTTCGACGTCGGCTTCATCCAAGCCTGTTCCAATCCTTCAACATTACTGACTGTCGTCGCCGCGTCTATTTCGATGATTCTTGCTCGGAGTTTTTTTTTATCCTCCTCAATGCTCTCCTCCGACGTCGTCCTGTCGCGACACGCGCAATTCTCCGTGCTGGAACGACGTTGCTGTACGGAAGTCGCGGGGCGTTCTTTCGCGCGATCGTCGTCCGGGTTTTTCGGAGGATTGCCGCGCGTGCCAGCTGCTGGAACGGTCTCGGCTTTACTCGTGCACGGCTTCAGTAGCAGCCTCTTGGGACTGCGTGGTTTCCCATAGGCGAACGGGTCCGGCGAACGAATGTCTGGCGGCACCGTGCTGTACAATTTCCTGGGATCCTCGAATCTCGCCGAATAACACGGCCTTGAGAATTGTTGCAGGACGCGCGACGACAACGTCGGCGCCGGCAGCATCGCGCATCGCCTGCGATCAAATTCCGCCTCCACTTGACGGATTTTATTCTGAACGTTGCTCAACCGAGTCTCCGCGATCGCGCGTTGCGATCGGTACGGCGCGAAGTTTACGTTCACTCGCTCGTCGCACTCTTTCTGGCGTAACGCCGATAGGAAGTCTCGCAGCTCGGCGTCAGATTTGAGAGCGAGGACCGTCGGATCTATCAGATCGGTCATCACCTGGATACAGAAAGAAAATTCATGTATGAAAATTTAATAGAATGCCTGAGAAAACTCGAGTGTTATATAATAATATTAAAGATAAAGTTATAGCGACGCGAATGTTCGCTTTTTTGTCACAGATTAATATCGCTATGACGTCAATATGAACCTGTGATAAAAATTGCACCTCATTGCGATATCGTCATGACACACATATCAAGATAATAATATACTATAATGTTACTGTAATCTTTTGATAATTTTCTCAGTAAATTATGAGTATAACTGTTACATAACATAGATGTGTAATATTTATATCTATGTTATGTAACATTCGTATTTATGATAACATAGATAATTTATCCGTGACTATTATGATGAGAATGTGATCTTCTCTGCTACAGGGGGGGGGGATGTAAAAATACATGAAAATTTCTCCAATAATTTAACGTTACCTCCACACCAACCCCCTGAATCTCCATTATCTTCTGATTGACGAGTCCTTCAACTTGCGCCTTCAGTAGATTCATCTTCAGTTGTACTAACGTGAGGATCGGGATGATGTTGGGTGGCGGATTAGCCGTCATGTGCAGATTAATCAGGGTGTTCACTTGCTGCGCGTTCTTCGATTCCGTTAACAGCTGATCCTTGGTCAGGGCGCTTATAGCCTTTTGCGCCTTTGCCATCGTGTCCTCCATGGTAGTGGTCACGTTCGAGCCCGGCACTTTACGTAGCACCAGTCGTGTGGCAGCGCAAGGTATGATGCCTTGCAATGATAGAAATTGCGAAGCCAAAGCTTGCAGATGTAGGGAGGCCGGGCAGTTCCTTTGCGAGCAGATAGTATCATCGACGTTGGGCGTGCAACGATGCTCGGCCTGATCGGTAGCGTCGTAACGACAACCGGCACGTAGGACGTTTCTAATCTCCGTCGAGTCCACGTCGCCTCTTTGACCTCTCTGACAGCATCCGCAATTCGACAGGACCTCACGGGTGCGAATAAACGGATCGTAGAACGGCAGAGGCATGGGATAAGGATAGAATGGCGGTGGTGATGGATAACAGGCGGCGGGATAAGTCAATCCACCCGGTGGATGACCCGCTGGAGGTGATGATGTTATTTGAGGTGGCAAAGGAGGCATTGATGGCTGTTGCTGTTGTTGTTGTTGGGACGCTGGCGATAGTTGGTAGTTGCTGGGCAGGATAAAGATGGGCGCCGTATTGCTAATGCACGCACGAATCTGGTCCAAAATATTCTGCGGCAGTTGGCCGCAGCCGGGATGAGTCGGTGGTAAGCTCTGGAAGACTGGGTGACATGGATTCGTTATTGGCTGTGGTGTACCCGGTGCGCATTGGTGTGTCACTATGTAAGTATCCGGCTGACAAACATGAGTGACAGGTCCACCTGGATGGATGAGAAAAACAAACATTGGAATAGAATACAATCGTGTATTTAAGTCAGCTCACTTATACATATTTCTTGTTATAAAATTATCGTTAAGTGTTTTATTAAAAATTATAGTTGAATTGTTCATACTCCATATATATCTCAATTTTTGATTATTACCATTTTAAACAAACAGACAAAATCGATAATTACTTGTTTAATTAATTATTATTTCAAAAATATTATTACTGATTTAATTATAAGAGAATATCTCTACCGAAAACTTGAGGCAGATTTGATTAATTGTTTTTATACAATTGATATCTACTCTCTATTAAAAGACAGATAATATTAATAATTAATTTATTATTATTTTGAAAACGTAATTACTGTTGAAATTTTAAACAGTTTATTTTTCAATTGATGTCACTTTATAAACAAATAAATAAATATAATATACTCTCTCTTTTCAATTTTATTACATTATATATGTATAAATTCAATGGATAAAATGTGAGAATAAACTCAGGGTGGACGTACATTTTAATAGACGTTTTTAAAGATGCGATATCTTTTTATTTATTGAATAATGAAAAATCACTCAAACTTAAATCGCGTGATATTAAATTATTACATAATTTAACGTTTGATTGACACGATCGGTTTTGTACCTTGAGAAGTTCCGGAGCACGGACCGCATGCTGCAGTTTGCATCTGCTGAGTGCTGGTTTGCCGTTGTTGACATGTTGGAAAATTATACTGACTCGTCTGCACGGGTACGTTCTGACAGGGCGTGACCTGTGACATCGAGGCCGCGTTACAGGGTAAATTAATCATCGGTACCAGAGACTAGATCATTGATTTGCTTTAACGAATTTAGATCCCGGCTGCAGCTGTCGTGCCCGCTCGTTCTCCTTCGTGATCAATAATGCATTATTCTATTCGCAGCGTGAGTTCGACCGTAATTTACGAAAATTACACTTGAAAATTTAGATTTTGAATTGTAAATGGAAACGTCAAGCACGAGATGTTCGGTGCTTGTCGTTGCCTTCGTTAAGATTTGAAGTTGCAGCGGATCCGTCAAAATAAGATCATCGATAATTTAATAACGTTATTCAAACAAAATTTATTCCTATAAATAAATAATGATTACGTTATAAATACTATATATATATATATATATATAATATGCTTGCTGTGAGAATTTGGCGATTTGTGCTTTGTCTTGGAAGTTTCAAATTCATTATGACACAAGAGACGAGAGAAAATTTTTTTCTCTCATTATTTAAAGTCCGAGATCTACGCGTCACCCGGTTAACATAAAATTCAATTAATTATATAGATCTGATTATACTGAGTAATTTCTTTAACGACGATAATCTTTATATAACGCAATTTAAAGTTACTTCCACTTTTCTCAAGATCGAGACCTTTTCTCTGATTAAATGTCGATGAAAATGCATTTAAAGAGACGACGACGTTTCCTAAATGGTTCGTCACTTCTCGGCGTGACGTAAACTTATTTACGACATCATTTTAAAAGCCGATAAAAACCGGTTCAAATCGATTAAATCCAAAAGAAGAAATGTCACTGAATATTTCATCATTATTTAATGCAAAATTTATGATGATGCCACCTTTTTTTATCTACACTTAATTTTGGATTGTTCGTCTAAATAAAACTTTAGCAGGAAAAGTGCTTTATAAAAGGCAAGAGAAATGTACAAATTAAAAAAGAAATGTACTAATATGATAATTAATTTATTGTAAATGATATAGAAACTATATTAAATCGAAGAATTACTGCTTCTGGAAAATGTTAAATACGGTTATGATTACAGTGTCTCAAGGTTGATCGACTGGTGCCGACAACTTCTGTTATCGGTCAGATAAATGAGTGACGTGGAGGGGGGGGAGATCCGTGAATGCGTAACGGAGCACGTGAACACTCATTGTTAGTAGTAAGTGGAACGTGTTGAGAGATATTCTGAGTGAGAGTTTACAAGCCGCTGGTAAAGTCTTTAATTATGTTACATCTAATCGTGGGAGCTACGTTCGCCTATTTAATTATTCATTAATAGAATCGCTCGTTCACGTCAACGTCTTGTTGCGTTTTGCGACTCATTCTCAAGAGGCTAACGACACACGCGGGTTAAAATGTTTTTTAATTATTCCGTCGCCCCCGCGCTGACTCGTTGCACTTCGTGACGATAAACATTATTAACGCGCGCGGCACTCGTCGCGACAACGTTATTAGAACGAGAGCGGACTCGCGTATAAAAAAGAAAAAAAATCCTCATAATTCTCGACTTTCCGGCTTTAAGCGCGCTCTCGCAGTGCCGGTGTCCTTAATTGCTACCGTGTTTTATTACAGCGATATTATTTTCCCTTTCGCTATGGCCGACCCAGATCCCCGTACGGAGTCGGGGAGATTCGCGGAGAAGTGCGAATGCAAGCATTGCTACTTCATAAAGCGGATATTGATACCAGAGATGGTCCACGGTCGTTATTTCTGCGAGCCTGGGTCTAGAGAGTTCGTCGAGCTCGATTCCGTCGACGACGTGGAGCACCTAGACCGGAACAGCGAGAACGCGATACGTCGGGTGACGGCGCGCGTTAAGTTCTCCGGCGTAACGTGCAGCTTTCCTCTTATTATCAAACTGCTCGAACATTCGGAAACTGCACCGTCCGGCCCGTTCTTGAACGAGGAGATGTTTTACAGCAAGATGACGCTTAACTACGGAACGGACGGCGTTCCGAAGTGTTACGTGTCCGATCTAGGTCGATTCGATTGTCAGGCCGTTATCGTATTGGAAGATCTTACCGCGAGTGGTTACGCACAGGTAGATGAAAAATTGGACGAGGATCACTTGAAATTGTGCATGAAGGCTCTGGCGACGTTTCACGGCAAGGGATTGAAATTGAAGGCCGATCAGTTTCCTATTTTCAGGGAGTTCTATGCGAAACTGTACGAACCGATTGACTGGTTACACCTTAATACAAGCCCTGGCGGCGTCAGGTATAATTCGATTACGTATTATTATACTTGTACATGCGTTTAGTATTAAATTTACGTCAAGCGAGAACGTGCCTATATGTGTACAGCCTTGTGCAAAAAGGTATTAGGCACAAGGCCTTATTATTATAGCTATATCCGACATGCGTTTTTAGAATTTATTTTTGGTCAGTGATTCGTTGAATGGTATGTTTATTCTAAAATGTAAACATAGATATGGTTTCGATAAAGTAATAAATGGGCATCAATCGAGAATATTTGTATTTTTCCAAAGTAGTATTATTTCTATTGTCGGTAGTGAAAATATCATATATTCAGTTTCATATTTTACTGCTGATATTTTTGAAAGTTGAGTTCTTTTCAGTAAATAATGCCTAAAATGTGCTCAACAGCGTTTGCTGATTCAACTTTTACACGAACAGGACAAATCTCAGTTTGAAATAGCTCAATGAGTTCAATGTTCACATGGACTAAAGCTAAGCGTAGACGTACCAAATATACTGATAAAAGCAATAATTAAAAGTATATATAGTTTTATTTTTATCTGCTTTTACCACAATTGACTTGGTATTACAAGATGTCTTTTGCACAAGGCTGTATTATAATATATATGTATTAGTTAAAAGGATATATGAACAACGCATGTAATAACTAGTCTACTTGTATAATACATAGAATATCTTCAATCTTGTATCATTTGCAGAACATCTAAAGTTGCGATGAGATCATCGTTAGATAATCCTGAACGTTCGGACGCTTCGTTAGACTCCGTATTACCAGTCGAGGCAATTCTCTCCGAGAAAATAAGAGCCAAGCAAAGCACAATGACCAAACTCGAGTTTAACGATCTTTGGACCGTCTGTCATGGTAATTTCACGCGGAGTAACTTGTTGTTCAAGTACGAAGATGGATGTCTAAGTGACGTAAAAATAATTGATTGGAGCACAATGACGTACTGCTCGCCGTCGATCGATTTCGGTCACGTTCTTCTCGAAAATCTGCCCGACGACAATAATCTGCCAGAGGTCGAAACGTTTTGCCAGAAGATGTTGAAGATTTATTTGGATGCTGTGGAAGATGAGTATTCCGAAGTGGATCGCGAACTTTTGGAACGAGACATTATCGCCACCTTGCCGTTTGCGTACGGCATGATTGACAATCGGAGGAAAACAGGGGTGATGTTGCATGCACTCGATCAGTTAGGCAGTTTCGATTAAAATCACCATCGTCGTGGATCATTATAGCTTATTTAATTATTATTTATATACAGTTTATAGAGAGTCTTTGGGATATTCGTTCCGTATTAAATTTCTCACCATTTTATCATACATATTCGTGATAATGATAAACACATTGAATAAAATATATCAAAGTGAACGCTACAGATTTAAGTTCAAAGTAATTTTATCATTGTACTTTTACTTCATAAACAATATGATTAATGTCATTTGATTTTCGAGGTCCATTTCGTGCAAAATAATAATGAATTTTCGAGATTTTTAAGTACAAACGTTTCGTGACAGGCTGTGTGTCATTATAGTGTTTTATTATTAAAGATGATAAATTAATATCATATACGTGTCAGTATAAACATTTTATTATTGTATTTCTTCGGTTTTCAGACAGCTTATTAGACTTAAAGGATTGGTTGTTTTTTATACGATACATTGTACCACAGCTGCTACTATGATATACAGTATCAGTGTCCGGCGATGAAATGCAGTGCAGCGTATTGCCTGGAAATGCAAGTCCATATGGATCGTTACTTCGGATTTTTTTTTTTTTCTTTCTTCTTTCAATGCTGATTACCTAGTTTAATACTTTTAGATTTATTCGTGCCATTTTTGTCTTCTAATAATACTATTCTATTAATCTGCATTATGCATGCCTCGAAATGTATCAGGATAATTTCAGGATGATTATAAATTTTAAAATAACTATACGCAAACAAATACGTTAGCGTTATCATGAAAAATATTATCGAGATTATAATTACAAAGACTAAATTTATAAAGCATTTTAATTCTTTTCTCAATATAAGACATTCTGAGCTGCAAGAATTATACGATGAAAAAATTGTATTACTACAATAAAAGAATTGCGAGTATTTTTCTTGTTATAAATTTCCGTTTTGGATTTATTGGAGATGTAGGATTATCCTGCATGTTTCTCTCTCTCTCTCTCGAAGACATTAGAATTGTTAGTTATGTTACCTCTATCTCTGAGCCGTTTCCCCTGTTTGCTCCGGCGTGGTATTTCGCGAAGGTTGAATTCTCATTGGTCGACGTACGGTGGGGCTCGTTTGGCGCAGAGATACCCAATATATAGCGGCCAGCAAAAAGATCAGAATGATGACAGAAACGAGCATCCGTCTTGCTCCACAAGTGGACTTCACTGCGGCCGTTATGATGGGAGGGCACGCTGACAGAACTTGTTTTGATGGAGCGGATTTCTGCACTTGCGACGATGCACCATGGCTGCCGTTATTCGGGCAATGCGTCCTTGCCAAGCCCCACCCCATTTGGAATTTAGTAATTTTGACGATTCTCTGCCGAAAAAGGGTGTGGAGCCAAATTACGTTGAGGTTGAAGTCAAATCAGATTGTCTCGGTTATAACAAGTAACGATCGTCTGATCTTGTATACGATTGCCGATCGATAGACAAATTCAACACACACGTTTTCGTAAAATGCTGTAAATGCTGAAAGAACGATTTTGTTGACAAGTATCTGAAATAAATAGTTAGATATGAATCTGGAAATAATTTTGTTTTGGGGATCGTTAAAATAATAATTATTTAGGACATTTAAATTGATTACTAAAAATATTAAAACTTTTTGTATTGTTTTCAGCATGATTGAGTTTTCTAAATAACATTAAATTGAAAAATAACAAGGACTCTTCATAATAAATAATAATCAATAACAATAAAAAGGGCGAAGTAAGAGTCAAATTAAGATTAAAATTAAGGAAATGTTGACGTGTTTAATTTTAAAAATTAGGATACAAAATTATATATATTAAAAATAAGATTACAAAAGAAACTACTTAAAATCTACTTAAATGAAGATGTAATAGAGATGTAACAAGTTTTCTAAATAATTATTTTAATTGTTGAACAAAATTATTTTCAGATCTGTATCTGTTTAAACTTTTAGATACTACTTCAGCAAGATTATTCTTTTTATGTAACAAATATAAAAAAAAGAGGTTAATATAAACGAACAAATTGGATATATATTAAATTAATATTTAAATTTAGCAGTATTATCTTTTTGTTTAAATTCTATATTGGATAATAAAACAATGAGGTCGCGGTGATCTATATTTTATCGTATATAGCCTGATTTTACGGCACTCTGGTATCTCGATTCGAGAGTAATTTTCTGTTTTGCCGCCGATCCATTTTATTAATGAGGCAGCATACAAACAAAATACAAATGAGACTATTCCCATGCGCGATGCTATTCGCGCGTCAAGCGAGCATATATCTGGGGTTGACCACGCTCCGGGGGAGGCGCGGAGAGATTTGCCGCTTCCGGACAGTCCGGATCGTCTGTTGCAGGAATGGATAGAGTTAGAAGTTGGAAATTATGTACATAGTTGACGACCCCCTTCGCGGCTTTGGCGTTCGTCTATCTCTGCGCTTACAGTACAGATGTTTGCGGCATGTTGATCGTAGTCCTGCGGCCGCGCGTCCGTGTATAGAATAACAGCGTGCTTCTTACGCAGGCATAATACATTCGGCTGCGTTTAGGTTTTCGCCTGAACAATCTTACCGAGCATGTCGGTGCTTCGAATTCCCTTCAGTTTCATAACTGTCGAATATATAAGGTCCAGATTGTTCATCACTGTTACATAATAAACTAACTGATAAACTCTGCACTCCCCAGATTCGTCCTTATCACTGTTGCTCTTTAATTGGCGCGTCACGAATTCATTCGGAGTAGAATTGATTGATGTAACAGCCTTCCTGTAAAATCGATGGAATTGAGTGCGATAACAATACAAATTTTACAGATATTCCTTTCGAAATAAAATTGCTTTGTGGAATTTTATGATACATCATAATTGTAAATTATTTTATTTGCGAGGTACAAAAACAAATTGATATTAAATAAAATGTTTATATGCACAATCCAAAATGGAATTTTTACGATTATGATAACAGATATACGTAGCAGGCAATTGTTGTCATTATGCTATCATGTGTGCGTTACGTAACGTTATATTATTGACATTTTATCGCTTTCATATTATTTGAAAATATCAGATTATATAGTCGAGCAAGAATATAGATTATTTAAACAGGCACATATTTGCACAGCAGACTGTTTTCACAGAGCGCGGTATTTTCAGAAGTCCCGAGCGAGTTAAGAAAGCAGTAAAAACAGCTCGTCTAAGTAAAGACTAACTTAATGGTCGACAGTGATGTTCCAAGATTGGACCACCGACAAGGTTGACGATACCGCTTCTCGTCTATTCTTCCCGGCTCCTCTTTTCTTAATTTCGTACACGGAGTGAAAGAGCAAACATTCTCCTTGAAAGGGCCGCGCTCCTCGAGTAATGAAGCGCCGGTCTCCGCGGGAGAGACGATTCAATTTTGCGGGTATTAACCGTACATCGGCCCTGGCGCGAATTAGCATTTATTAAAATTTTATCGATCCGGAAACTTTAACGGCTTCGCGCGACCTAAATTTCGCCGATGCAACGTTAAACAGAAATACATGAAAAATAAAGCAGGACCGTTCGATATTCGGTCCCGCCCCCGAACGCGCGCTGCTCTCGGATAGCGTCCTCAGCGCGGAATCCAGCTGAAAATTTTACGGAATCGTTAATCTTGGAAGACTCTTCCCCGTCAGTCGCTAGCTTGAAATATACGTATAACGTACGTGAATGCGCGGCGTGACCGGCGAAATTATTATCCGGCATATCCCCAACGAGGAATGCCGCTCGAAAAATTTCCAAACGTCCGCGCGTGTTTCTCACTCTTGGCCCATTAAATTTTCCACGCCTGCATACCGACATTACGTTTGAGGAGTGAAGCGGACATTTTTTGCGGTCGAATGCCTCCTGACTTCGTATTTCTGTAAAGAATGATTGCAAGTGTTATGTGTGATGTCTACTGATCTCTACAAAATAATAATAATAAATAATAATTTTGCTGTGAACGTATCATAAGTTTCGAGTTTTTGTCATTTCCGTAATCAACGTAATAATGTAATAATAATAACGAATCTTTTCGTGAAATATCAAGAATTAGAAATATTATGCGAAAAAAAAATATAAAATAAATTATATGTAAAGCGATCGTGACATATTTATAATATACGTATATTATAAATGTATATTATAATATACATATATTATAAATATGTATTATACATATTATTTATAATATACGTTGAAAACAATATTAATTTGATTTATGTCCGAACAGAACAAGTCATGATAAAATCAAAATGACGTTAAAATGAATCATTATTGATCGAAAGATGACTTTTAGTAGGTAATTATTTTGAAGCTATTTTGACATTATTTTAATTATGATGACTCGTATCCCGCTTGGATGATTTTATTAATAATCGCCATAATAATTGCCGAAATGGCCAACTTCAACCAGGGTTGGAGCATTAAAATATAAAATGCTATAATTATAAATATTAATTTCGCTATATTTCCACGATTATATATTCTATAGGGTTACTTTTCTAATAATGTATTGCCATCTTAACGTGTTGGCTAATTTTATTTCGCAGCGTCGCGACAGCCCAGCTGAAGCGTTGATTTCAAAATGCAAGCTTGAGATTGGCAATGAACTCGCGATCGGCTTGCAACTAATGTAAAACCGGCTTAATAACAATAGGTATATGTTCGCGTTGCTTGAACTTTTTGCACTTAGCATCTTCGTTTTCTCTCTTTTCAATTCTCGAATATCACTTCGAGGACAAACGATTTTTTAAGGATTATTTCAAAGCAATGCAAACAGACTCAATAGGTCTAATCGCGTTACTTGAAATCCTAAAAAATTGCACTTGAAATGAAATAAATAAATACGTATTCGAACGTTGAAAAACAAAGAAACGACCATATTTAAATCACAACCGTTACATAATATGAAGTGTGTTACGCATCGCGCGGCGCCGCTATCTTAGTTCTTTTCGCCCTCGCGACGCAGTTGGATGCAGTCAGATGCAGCGGTTTGGAGCGAGATGTTGCTCCGCGTCATTGTTTTTACACGGCAGTGTCGAAATAATGCAAGTATTAGGATGTTAATTCTCGGCCCCTACCTTTCAGCGATCTCAGAACCCGTTTAAGTTGAACTCCCCCTCCTCTCCTTTGTAGTCATTTTAAAGTGCCATTTTATTTTTATAAAATGAAGTACAATACTTGAACTCCTTGTGAACATAATCTGAAAAATTAGCAGTAAACACGATGTCGTTCGAAAAGCAACATTTGAGGCACTGCCTTCTTTTCGCGTTTCAATTTAAAAAAAAACAAAACAAAACAAAGCTGAGGCAAAAGAAAAATTCGGCTTTGGACAAGAATGCTGTATCGTACAGTACGTGTGAAAAATTCTAACAGTTTCGAGAGGGAAATTTCGACCTTGAAGATCGTGAACGCCCTGTCAACTTGTAAACTTTTGACACCGAAGGTCTCCACAAAGCATATATATAACCGTGATAAATAAAAATTAAAATGTGACTTTCATATTATTTTAATTGTCTTCTTTACTCAGTCTGTTTCGATACTTCTTAATAGCCACTACATCTCTCCATATAAAGAACATAAAACGTTTCTTGTTCATAGAGTACAATTGTTTTTTATTATTATATATTTTATATTATATTTTATTACTTATAATAATGTATTATCTGCATCCACTACATTCTAATTACTGGACAGAATTTATATTAGTTTTCAAATGTATTGTGACTGTTATTGAAATTTTCTTAACATACGAATTATCAATTTTTCATTAACAATGTCTCATTTTTCTACAATAAATTTATCCACTATACTGTAACAAGATGATTCGAAGTCTGAAGAGAACTCAATTAGATAGTCGAAACTGGTCACGTAGATCCTGTATATATTAATCACTATTTTTAGTAATTTAAGTTTAATTAATAAAGTAATAGACTAAAAAGACAAATTAAGAGTCATAACATTAAAATTTTAATCACGTAATAAAAAAATAAAAGAGAAACAATAAATTCGCAGACATAAATAATATACTATAACAGGAATAGACGTTTCCAATAAAACTTAACCGCAGGTCTTCAAATCTTCAAGTCTTTGAAGACCTGCGGTTAAGTTTTATTGGAAATGTCTATTCCTGTTATATATTATTTATGTTTGCGAATTTATTGTTTCTCTTTTATTTTTTTATTACGTGATTAAAATTTTAATGTTATGACTCTTAATTTGTCTTTTTAGTCTATTACTTTATGTTTTAAACTAAGAGTCCTTTGCCTTATTTATTATTAAGTTTAATTAGCCTTAAGTTAATTAATTTTTGTAAATTTGCTAATTTGATATAATATGAAAACAATATTAATTTGATTTATGTCCGAACAGAACAAGTCATGATAAAATCAAAATGACGTTAAAATG